AATTGTACAACTATTACCAATATTAAATATGTGAATTAAAAGAAAAAAATAAATCGGTTGTATGTTAAACTATTATTCAATTATTGCTTGAAAGGGAACACCATAATGGTTGTAAAATGTATTTTTTGTGAATATAAACATGAATTAGTTACTTAATATTTTATCAGAACATGAAAATAAATTCAAAACTTTTTAAAATTATAAACAATATAAAACTACATTTTTATCAAGTATATTATTTTTTTTTTCCCAAAACGATAGATAATATTATAAATCAAAATGCACAAATGTGCGAATACATAGCAGTCAACGACTGAATACTCAGCAGCCAACAGCTGAAAAGTGGGAGGACAGGTCAGAAGACCGCCTAGAATCCCGGCTAGCAACGCTAGAATAAAAAACACTCAAACTAAACTAACTAAAGAACACAAGCCACTAAAACAAACTACAAGGACCCCAACGGAGTAATACCCGAGTGTCGGATCCCAACAGGATAATAAGTTGACACTCGGGCTCACAGAGGCCAACGGCCCAAACCAAAAACACACATCCTAATCCACACAAGCACAACTCAAAGAGAAAAAAATAAGACATCCTAATCTAGCGACAAACGAACAAAGCCCTTCCCCAGCGAGCTAACCAGTCCCAGCACAAGGCGCCGACGAACTAAAGACAATCATCCACAGCATAACCCGAGATCCGAAACGCAGCTCCCGCCACTGCCTAATGCCTAGCAAAGGACGAGTCCCGAACCCCGAGCCACTCCAAGGATGAAGCCGATCCATAGCCAGAGGAACAACAATCAGGCCCCCATACGCTAGTGGCCCAAGACGGACCAACAAACGTACATCTCCACAGGAGCTCCAATTAATCATCCCAGCCCCGGTCGACTTGGCTCAGACGAACCAACCACCAGGGTCGCACCCAACCCCACCCACTCACCTCCAAAAAGCTACCCACCTCGAACCCGACACGCAGCTGACGACCTTCCACCGAGGACCGGGGAGAGCCGAAGCCGACCAACAGCCAACCACCAGCGACTCTACACGGCGAAGCAGGAGGCGGGACCACCGGCGTGCTAGGGACGGCGAGACCTACCGACAGCGGAGGAGTAGCGCCATCGGTGCAGAAGCACGGGAGAGCGAGGACTAGGAGCAGGAGGACAAGGCTATAGACCATCCGCCGGCTCAGGGGCCGGCTAATCGCCGGGGAAGGCACAATTTAGGGGCGAATTTGGCGGAAGACGATGGAGAAGAAGATAGGGTTCGGGGAAGGCATCAAGTATATTATTACTATCATACACGTAAAAAGAATGCATTGCATATAAATATTCTCTAATTCTTTCAAGAAATAAAATATCATTTTTGAATAAAATAAAATAAAAAACAAGTGAACCAATAGTAATGCAATGAGGAAAAGAAAAATTTTGAATTTTTTAGAAAAGTATGAATACTAATATCAAGAAACAAAAATCTTTTAAAATTACTACTTTTTTTATTGCTAGTATTTAAGTATATGTTCTCTATAAGAAATTAGTTCTCATAAATAATGATTCGATATTATCATTAAATAGACCACAAACTTTAATAATGACTTCATAATAATAAAGTTAACAGATGACTAAGAGTATCATAATATAGTATAATTCAAATTCTTCTCATCTGAAATATTTTACTTCTAAATATTGTCTCATTGTTTTGTTTTGTTTTGTTATTATTGAAGAATCAATAAAGGATCTTTATCTTGAATTTTTTAAGAATTAGTTATGATACAAAAGATTGGACAATAAATGCAATAAATATTATTAGACACATAAATATCAAATCCGAAAGAATATGGAAGGTATCTATCTTCCAAATTAATAACACTGAAAATGGAATATTTAATACTGATTAAAATATTTTTGAATGTTGAATAAGTTGTCACTTTTTGATAAGAATTTACGATCATAACTGTGTATTGTGCTCGATCATACGTGCAATTGTTTTAGAGTACATATTTTTATGTAATGTGTGATGATTTCAAAAAAATAATTTAGCATCTTCATAGAAGTACATGATTTTGGAAAATCAAATTTTATTTAGAGATGAAATTCGTTCCCACCTCATGGGGTAAGTACCAATTTGTCTATGTGGGGGGAGAGAGAGAGAGAGAGAGAGAGAGAGAGAGAGAGAGAGAGAGAGAGAGAGAGAGAGAGAGAGAGAGAGAGAGAGAGAGAGAGAGAGAGAGAGAGAGAGAGAGAGAGAGAGAGAGAGAGAGAGAGAGAGAGAGAGAGAGAGAGAGAGAGAGAGAGAGAGAGAGAGAGAGAGAGAGAGAGAGAGAGAGAGAGAGAGAGAGAGAGAGAGAGAGAGAGAGAGAGAGAGAGAGAGAGAGAGAGAGAGAGAGAGAGAGAGAGAGAGAGAGAGAGAGAGAGAGAGAGAGAGAGAGAGAGAGAGAGAGAGAGAGAGAGAGAGAGAGAGAGAGAGAGAGAGAGAGAGAGAGAGAGAGAGAGAGAGAGAGAGAGAGAGAGAGAGAGAGAGAGAGAGAGAGAGAGAGAGAGAGAGAGAGAGAGAGAGAGAGAGAGAGAGAGAGAGAGAGAGAGAGAGAGAGAAAGAGAGAGATAGAGAAATGTAGTAGTTTATACAGTGATTAAAAAAAATATCAAGAATTTAAATGACACAAATATCAAGAAATTTAATGCTACAATTGTTTATTTCACAGAGATACTTATAAACTATTAATAGAAATACCTTATAATGATCATACAATTATAAAGTTTGACTTTATATTTGGCTAAAATATTTCTAAGTGTTGAATAATACAGACGTTTTGCAAAATTAATTAAGAAGAATTTTGCAATACTATTGATGTATTAGAATACAACAAGTATGAATGTTTCTTATGAGAACATCAAAACCAAAATAAAAGAAAATGACTCTTGAATCTAACATAAATAAATAAAAGAACTTATGCATCTATAATATACATTATGTCTTTATTTAGTCATTTATTGTTTTTCCATTAGGAACTCATTTTTCATATATTTTTGTTGGAGTTGTAATATAATATTTAAATCTTTTTATATTACGACAATATTTTTTTATTTAAAATAAAATGCATGAAAAGTTTATTTATTCTACATTTTATTTTGTTTCTGCAGTCATATGTGTAATAAATTAATTAATTTATCTTACTAAATTTAATTGGTGAAAAACATTCGTCGCCACGTGCATCGCACGTGCACTTTACTAGTTATTATAAAATGAGGAATGATTTTGTAAGAAATTGCACGGACTAAAATGTCCTTATGTTTATATTATTTTTAATGGAAAAACTGTAATAACTATTAAGTATCTCAATGAGTTAAAATCACAATTAAATACCTCAATAAAATAGGATTCTAACAAAAACAAAACTCTTTCACAAATAAAACCTAACAAAATAGATTTAAATAAGTAAACAAAATATTAACTTATCAATAAAAGAAAAATTAATAAATGAGATGCAAACCATTTCAATAAGATTGAATTGCATTAAAATATTGTTGTTGTATGGAATTTAACAATGATAATGAACTATAAAGCGGTATAATTAAAGCGTAAAAAGATGTAAACTTTGTATTATTTCTATGTTTTTGTTGAGTACAAGAAGTCGGTATTATGAAAAACCGAGCTGTGTTTATATATGCTTATATAACATGAGTAAAAAAGATCTCCATACAATAATAAATTATGCTATTTATAGTACGATGCGTTTGACTTCTGGTACGAGGTTGATAGGATCGCATTTAATGTTGAGCTGCTTCATTGAAGCGGTTTGCTGGTTAATGGGGGAACATCAATGATTACATCTGTAATATGTGGTCCAATCAGATAGATTGCTTTATCACCTGCTTTGGACTTCGTTTACCTCGGTACTCGGTTAATGTAGATAATCTTCAGGAGAGAACTTTTGATAAGTCAGTTATTTGTCTTTAGTGCGAAGTCGGTTCACCGCTATAAATGAGGTCGGCTTATGCTTTTGAATGAGGTCGGTTCTTCTTCTTCTGGGTACCGAGGTGAACTAATTTTGGCGTGTGGAATGATCTGAGAGATAAGCTGCAGAAAATTCTAATAAACCTTCCTCTTAATTATGGCAAATCAGGTCGGTTGTCAACAGAGAGGCCCCCGACATTAGCAGGTATTCTAATAAACCTTCCTCTTAATTATGACTTTCCAAGAGTTCTTCCGTACAGAATGTGTATAGCAGATCTCATTGTTGTCTTCCATTTCTTATTTATCATTTCTTTATATCTGTTAACTACTCCTTTCGATATTGGTAATTTCATGGTGCTGCTGTCTATGCAAATATTCGACCTTTCCTTCTTTTGTCTTCAAAATTTTCAGGGATCAACCGATGTAGAATTGCCATTTTCTGTATGGGCCTTTTCGAGCTTTATTCTTTTCGGTATTATTTTGATATTTTATGTGGACAGTATAGCAGAGGAAAGGTACACTCTTTCCTAGACTCTTCTATGCGTAGTTCTTCTCATTACTTTCATCCATTACAATTTATATGTTCAAGTTCTTACCATTTATTGGGTATTAGGCTACCGGAAATTTCATTATGAATCACATTTTGGCAATACATTCTCGGGTATGGCTTATTAGTTATTATAGGTGTCAGGTGTGAACTAACTGACTTTAGGTACTTAACATAAAGTGAATAAAAGAAACATTACCTGCATTACCTAATACATCTCCATGGCTAGCAATTGACACTTGGAGTACATGCTGATAGACTTATGATATACATTTCTATTCAATGGTATTATTATGGCTTATCAATAGTTTTCTAAGCTCTGCGGGTTTTGTTATTTTCTGTTTCATGCATATTTACATTTACACATTGTGCAAATTATAACCAATATACATATAGCATAGTCATAGGTCCATTTCATATCTTGACTTCTGCTTTCATTGTACTTGGCTTGTGCATGTAGTTAAATGGTGTCGTATTTAAAATGATGGCACCAAACTTACCGTATGGCACTGAGAACGGGACAAGACTTAACAAGCAGATACATCACTGGAAGTTAATAAATTGAAGGCATCTGTTCTTTTATTTGCAATCTCAGCTCTTGAAATAAAAACCCTCTGGTGAAACATTTAATTTTCTAACAAAACCTTTTATCCTGTCTATGAATGAACATAACAGGTGGCTTACGATTAATTATGTCCTAATTCGTTGTGACACTTTGTCTTCACGAGATACTGTAATTTGCCAACTTGCTTTGACGCAAGACAAATTGGTAATTCGATTCTTTTTCAGACTGCATATGGTCTTCTCATCTCCTAGACATTTAAGTGTCGCTGGAGGATGCATCATTGTCATGGAGGTTGTCTACAAGATGGCTTTCTACTCTGCGCTGCCATTTTGAGCTTTGGTGCGAATTAGATATTTTCTTGATTTTTTAAAAGTTAATTAAGATATGACAGACATTGATATAACTAAGCCTCTCTCTTTCGATTCAAATTCGATTGGTTGGAAATACGCCTCCATACCCTCATTACTGATTCTGATAATGTTCATTAGTGGTTCATTTAGTTAATTGGCTTTCTGAAATGAGTTTCACTCAATTCTTCTGATGCATATGCTACCTTATGTATTTCTCATACGGTCAGTTCTTATAGAAGGAATTTCTGCCGGATTAATGTTTTTGGATGTTACCTACTGTTTCAATTTCTTTTTTAAAGAAAAATATAGTTATGTCCTTTTGTGTGTATTTGCAGGGATTCATGAAGCCACTTCATTGGACCGTAACAGAAAAGACTCCTTGCAAAGTTCAGAACCGGAAGGAGTTTATGATGACCAAATGCAGATGTCAGCACTTCCAACTTGAAAGTAAGGATAGTATCTCGTGAATTTTGCCGATGATAAAACACTTTTACTCTAATTCAAAAATATGTACCCTAGGCTTTCCTAATAATAGTTGGCTTGGATTCCTAAGTAGCCAAGGGCAAAAAAATTGGTGAACTTATTTTCTTTTTTTTTTTGACATGGTGTTCTATAAATTCATAATGACAGCTAACTGAATCTGCACAAACTCTTGGTCTGCTAATGCTGTTGGATTGTGCGTGACCTCAAAGATAATTAGGCTAAAGAATGAGATGACCAAGATAATTTGGGCTGATGAAGATTAAGTGGAAGTGAAGATACCAAGCTTGTCATATGGTTTTTTTGTATTTGGTTTCTGTACAAATCATAATTAGCTCAATATTTGGTCATTTTTGGGTTTCACAGCCGTATGTACTTGGGAATGGTATTGTGAAGACTAATGTTGTGACCTCAAAACTTTCTAGTCGATTGAATTCTATAAATTCTCCAACCAGGAGCAGTTTTTCTAAATCTCCTAGTATATTAGGCACATATCACGAGCCTAATATAATTCTAAGAGAATAGCTTGTCAACCAGACTAACTATATTATTAGGTTGTATCACATAAGAATTTGTATAAATTTATATGGCCACTGTAAGCACAATGAAAAAAGAAGGGGTTAGATTATGGAAAAAAAAGGGGTTAGATTATAAGTAAAATGACTTTAGCGACTTTTGATTATTTTATCCACAATGAAAAAAGGCCCAATAGTAATTTTTTTTTATTTTATTTTATCTTTTTTTCCTTCTTCTGAAATGATAACTGCAAAAAGTACATATGAGATGTCCAAAGATACCACTAGAACCAAACAAAGGGGTACAAACACAAGGAAACAACAACAACAACATACTCAGTATATTCCCAACAGGTTGGGGTCTGGGTACAAACACAAGGAAACAAAAACTCCAAATCGGAAGTATAGCAAAATTGCCGAGCATAAAAAACGCAACTTATTAGCATCCGGTCTTACACTCAACAAAACTCTACACTGCAAAGAGTTTACACATTTAAGCCGCAATCACAAAATCCAGCCAACAAATATGATTCGCTTGTCAATTCGCTGTCGATTTTTCTTTAAAAAATCCAGTCATAGCTTTAGTAAGAAAATGAACAAGAATTCCAATGGGACAAAACAGCAGGCAAAGAGAAACCGAATGTCGGGTCTCGATTTTCTTTTGCAATCCGTCAAAATAAACNTAAAAAAAAAAAAAAAAAAGGGAAAGATGAATAAGTTAGATGCATCTATTGTGTGAGAGAAAACCCAGAGAAGAGAGAACAAAAATAACTTACCTCGCGGCAAAAAGATCCACAGCTAACAAATGAATCCAAGCTGAAGCCAAAGTCATCTCACTCGAGAACATCTTTGCTATACCAGGCAACTGAAAACAGAGTCAATTTATTAAGGCTTTGGTCATACAACTTTTCTAACTGTTTTCAGAGTTATTCCATGGTCAGAACACACACCTCAGGCAGCCAGTATTTACTGCCAAACATCAGACGAATCGTATCAGGTGACCATGATAGGTAAAGAAGGTAAGCATATAATACACCAAGAACAATATAAGGTATGCTGCTTGCCAAAACTTTTTTTGTCTGCACCACAACACAGAAAGAATTAGTGTGCAATCACTTGAAAAAATGATTATTGTGAGGGTTTCAAAAGAAACACAAAGTCACATTCTAGTGTTTGTTGATGAATATGGTTCTAATGCTTATAAAAGCCTTGAAAGGAGTTGTTTAGACTTTTAGTTCTGCTTCTCATTTGACACACATTCAAATTCACACTTTTCAACTTCTCCTTTGAGAACTCTTTCTTAACTTCATCAATATCTTTGTACCAACTTCTGATTCTCTCAGTGACAAAAAGATCAAGATAAACTTACACTGATAGTTGTGATATATGCTGAAGTTATGATTAAAACATATTATGTGCTGAAACGAGTTCGAGTCAACTAGAACACTTACGAATTCAGCTTGAGGTGCGACCACCATGAAGGTGTAAAATGGAAGAACAGCTGCAGTCCCTAACGTAAAAGCACTGCTCGCAATCTGCGAACATGGCATCCCTGAAATAAACAGATAGAGAGAGAAAAAAAAAAGAAGATTTACATTATATGCCACTTACTAATTGGCTCGATTCGCATGTAAAATTTGAGTAAAGATAACAGAAATGGAAATCTTTTTTGAGCTCGCAAAGCATTGGCATGGTCCCTAACCTTTTGAGACAAGAAAATTCAAATAATCTAGTTTCTGCATTAGGTTACACATAATATTTGAATTGAAGACACAGTTTCAAGTGCATGATAAAAAATAATTTAAAATTCGAAATTAAAAAAGAAAAAGAGAAGTGAAATCACAGAAGAGATATGAGCAAAAGGAAACCTTACATAAAGCATTAACCGTCAAGCTATTGGTGCGGAAAATAATTCTTCCAGGAACGGGTCTCGAGCCTCCATAACAATTCCAGCTGATACATGGGTTTATTTCCTTTTCTACCACTGGCTGGCCAAACAATTTAGTTTTTGCGCTTTGAAGAGAAAATTTTTGGTTTATCCTATTGTTATACAGGTTGCTTGGGGGCTGTTTTGGGTGGGGGTCAATCTACAATTTACAGATAAAAAAAAATCTTGTTAACAACTCAAAAACTTGAACTAGCTCAAGAGTGTTTGACAAATTCAGAAAGGATCACTACTCTCAGAAAAAAGAAGTTACTCGATGAGATGGTTCCTATATTTGCAATCTAGTTGACATTTTTACAAGCACTTGGTACGCATTGATGGTAATAAGCAACCACATGTCCAAAGCAATAAAATTATCAAGATTACTGCAAAAGCAAGCTAAAAGCTAGGAATCATCATCAGCCAAATTATTTACATGAGAGGGGTTAAAAAATGCCCAGAACGGTGAAATTAGGCAAGAAAAGCAGCAACATCAAAATGAACCAATTAACTCAGAATACTCATTGGCATCAATCAAGTAAAGTAGAATCTACGCATATCCAACAATAAAAGAAGAAAACTTTAGAATGCCCAGGTGATTAAACTAAAACCCAATAGACACAGACTCACAGAGACTAATAATTAACTAACATTATTATTGTCATTGCCAACCATACCCTGAGGGAGATACAGACTGGAGAGCTCAAGAAGCACGATGATGATGGTGCCATATTTTCAATCGCGAGAACAACCATAAATGACAGAAAGCCCAAAAACGAATTTCAGAAAAGCGAGCAAGCCACCAGAAAAGCTGGTGATATAAAAATGAAGAGCAAAACAAGAATGGTAAAACGCGTGGCTTATTACAATATTGGGTCATATTGTCTTGTGCTTGAATGCAGAAATAGAAATTCTATTAAGTGGGAAGAAAGAGCACATAGCAGGTGACCGATATAGACCGAGTTTGGGCCAAATCGGCAAAAAATCCTATTTCCTACGAGACAATGATATTGGATGAAAAAGCAGCCAACTTATCTCCCAAAACAAAATTCACATGTCTCGTCCTATTAGGTTAAGACACGTGTTCTAAAACGTGGCGGACATGCCAGGACGAGGATTTATTGCTGGGTTGGTGCTGTCAGAATGCTTGTTACGGTGTATTATACTCCATCCGTTTCTTATTAAATATCATTTTCATTTTAATTTAAAACTTTTAAATTACGATTTTAATGGGTTGTGTAATAATCTTATTTTTTAATTTTATTAAATTTAGTTTTTGATTTATTAATGGGTAATTTTTAAAGATAATGATAAGAGATAATGTTTGTTAAAGAGAATAAAGATGTAAGAATGAATATAATATTTCCAACGACAATTAATTTGCAAAAAAGTTGACACCCTACAACGACATTTAAAACGAAACAGAGGGAGTATGAGATTAGTGTATTTATCCACCCTGACATATTCGTTTGCTAGTCAAGACACAGGCCCGCCAAACAAGTCTTGGCCCGCGATGATTTTTGCTTAATCTTGATCTCCCACAACCAATGAATCTTGAGGTGGTTGGCAAGAGTCTGTACTGTAGAGTCAGTACAAAAAGACATTAATATCTCTCATATTTTGATTTCCGGACCATATCACTCTCGTATCTTGCATAAACTCTCAAAATACCAAGGACGTGTTTGATATAGAAGATAGGATTAGATTGTAATAATCTGGTGTGCCTAGATTGTACTGTTAAGATTTGAGTAATATTGAGTTTGGTGTCCATGGTTGCGTGGAAGAGGAAGACTGGACAAAGTTTATTTTGGTGTTTGTGGGGCATGACAATTATTAGGATAAAATACCAATTTACTTAATTACCCTTTTATTGTCAAAATTGTTCAAGTGAGCATTCTAATTTTTTCCTGTCTTTTTCCCCAGTTCTAACCTATTTCTCTCGGCGGTCCAAAAATGCGATCTCCGACTCTCGTCCAACGATCTCTGACTCTCGCCCATGGAATGCAAGCAAGATGTCCGACGTAATAATTGAACGGGACCTTCTCGCATCTGAATACTTTTTCCATTTCTTCAGTGAGTTTACGTTATTGTGTAGTCTAGTACCTGTAATTTTTGGTTCTTATATCTTCCATAAACACATATTTCATGTTTGTGTCTTGTTAATTCGTACGTCAACGTCTTCTACACCATTTTGTAGTTTTAATTGTATAATATGTGATAAGATCTTTTCCTGGAAAGTAATTCTTTGTATCCGAAAATGTTGAATTATCTCTCTAGAATCAGTATTGTTATTTATTTTTAGCTGAAAAAACCCAATAATACTTTTGATTATTTAAATTCTCCACCACTAGTAATGATAATAATCAGTCAGTTTTTTTTTTAGACGATATATGAAGAAGCTGTGAGCAAAAACGATGTCGTTGAGTCAGCAGCAAAACGACGCCGTATCTATTAATGAAAAATGCGAACAAAAGAAAAGAAAAGCCAAAAAACTAAAACACGACTTTTAATTTGTATTTCGGGCATCCAAGCACTACGCAAATGTGTAGTACATCGCTTGAGACTTGTAAAAAACAAAAAGGCAAGATTGTGTTGTTGTTTTGTCCAATCCGTAGTACCATTATTCTTTCCCATGTGGTTATATTAAAAAATGTATGATTATATTCTCTAGCCTGAAGATGTTTACATGGGTTGTCGTTTTCCATTAGATTCTTTTTGTACAATTTGATACAATCTGGCATAGAGATATGATGCTTTTTGAATAAAAGTGTTGAAGATGGTGTATTCAATCTGTTGTCAGCTTTATCAGTTACTTACATCACATAAATTGTGTAATTTGTATATTTGGTACAAATTACCCTCCTCTGTGTGGTCATGTCCTCCCCTATATAAACACGTTCATTTACCTTATAATTTCCACATTCAAGTCATGACCAGAAAAGTAGGATTTAATTAACCCATCCTCTATTGTCATTGAAAAGCAGTATAATGCCACGTTTGGAAAGGGAAGCCACACAAGATGAGTTTCTTTACGATGATCGTTGGATCAAAGAGGTCGACAACCTGTTCATAGACCTCCTTGCAGAGTCACACCTTGCTGGGGAATGGAGACATGTCAGACCAGGGTGGAATGTCTTCACCTACTTTCGTGGTGTATTGGTTGCAGATGTCGGGGTAAACTTCACGGTCAGTGAATTCCAGAAAAGGTTCGATTTCCTTCACAAGTAGTTTTGAGTCTTTAGTTGGATGCTACGAAAACATGGGTTGCGCCACTGTGTCCAGTCCAACGTCCTCACGGCACCGGTAGTAGTGTGGGATGATATCTTCGAGGTATTTCATAATGTATCATATGAGGGAGCTTAATGTTATCTATTGCTGTTTACACTTCGTTGGGAATAATACACATTTGGGTTATCTTTTCTCTCACTATTTGGTGAAACCAAATTATCCGAGTCCTTTGGTTGCTTGGCCTTTATTGAGTAAAAGGTTCTAAGATGAATGTACTATTAACTCCTCCAAAAATGAGTTTATTGATAAGTTGTGTAGTCCTTAATTTGTTACAGTTTTTACTAGTACGCAATTGAAATAGTTATTATATACCAAATTTAATGTTGTTCATACGAGTGCATGTGTTTTCTCAGGCTTCTCATTTGGTTGCATTTTTGTTGTTGTGTTGTATTACCATTATGTGTTTACTTGATTGAAAGTGTTTCATGTTACAAAATCTATACTTATATAATAAGAATTAACATTTATCAAAATTAGTAACTTAATTAATGGTCAAAGTCAGTTTTGCATTTATTACTTTCTAAAATCGGTAACTCTTATGTCCATTTTACACGGCTTATTAAGTCAGCATTTATGTCCTTTTCACACGCCTTTTAAACTCATTAATTATACTGATTTAATTCTCATGAAATAACCCCAATTCACACGTCTCATTAATAGCGTCCTTATCGCATAATTTTTTATGGTAACGAAATAATCTCATTTCACACGAGCATCATATTTTTGTATGGTAACGAAATAATCCCATTTCACACGCCTTTAAAACATATTTTTTTAACGATAAATTGAAGAAAAAAAAATCGTATTACAAGGAGAAGATATTTGAGATAATTTTAAGATTCAAAAACAAAATCCGTGAGAAGATATTTCATACACCTTATCAATATTCAAAACTGATATTAAGTTTGTTATTCATTTCCTAAAACAAATACACGTGTTGAATTATTATCTCTAAAAAACTATACAGAACATACGCATATATATATATATATGTACATATACACATATTAAATTTAAATATTTGTAGACATGTTTTCTTTACAAAATAGTCTAGAAAAATCTTTTTTATATAATGTTAAATTCAAATGTTCTTAGATATGTTTTCCTTCTAAAATTGTTTAGAAAAGTTGTAGGTGACTTCACATCTTTCAAAAATAATATAGAAAACTTTGAATACTTTTACATATATACTAATATAATATTTTAGGTGTTTTTAATATTAAACATACAAATTTTATATTCTCTTATACAAAATAATGTAAATTTTTCATATTTTCTTATACAAAATAGTTTACATTGTTTGACCCTGAATCTTTAATTTATAATTATTAAGTATTGTTTATCCTCCTCTTTACTTTATAATTATTTTTTTTTCTTCCTCTGTTTAAATAGGATCAATAGTAGTTTCCACTTCCGTCAGTGACTCAAACTCGAGATCTATTTATAATATTGTTAATTTAATATTGTTCCCGTGCATCGCACGGGGTACACACTAGTGAGGATTTAAATACTTATTGTCTGAAGTTGAACAAATGTATTTATGCAGTCCGACCCATTCTCGGTGGCATACCAACATTTTGGGGGCCTGCGGCCGGACATACAATACTTGTTCACTGAGGTCTACAAAGCCACAACAAATCCACCGGATGTGTTGGACCAAAGTTCTAGTAACGAAAATGATGTAGCAGCCTTGTACAAATAGTTGTACGTGTTCTCGCTGAGTTCCCTCACCAATGAACCACTAATAAATGGTTCAATCGGAAACAATGTTTGTCATTCAAGATCTACGCAAGAACGTGAGGCTTCATCCGAAGGCTCAGTGAACACACACACCCGTGTGAGCATTCAAAGGCAGGGGAGTCACCATTGCGCATTCCCCGACCACCATGTAAGCCGGCCCCATATTCATACAAAGGATCTTAGTGACCCCCCTAACTGAACACTCGTGAAGTCTCTCCAATTGTTAAGGACATTTAAATTTCCTTATTTTGTGGGTTGTCTTTTGTATTATTATTGACATTATGTATTGTGATGTACTTTCTTTGGTGCTTGTAATCACGAATTCTTGCTTGTTATTTGTACTTCATTAACCATCTTTTGATTTATATGTGGGTTCATCAACTAAAGCCCAAGTGTTCAATCTTTTTTCCATGGTTGAAGTGTTATTTCATTTTTATTATATCTATCCAAAGAAAAACCCAAGTATCCTTCATCTTAATCCACTCTCCAATTTGGATGAAAAAATTGTTTGTTTGGGATACTTTCGTTGTTTAGGCATGTCCATGCTTTGAATGCAACTGTGATGTGTTCGTGACTAAATAATTGCTTGACTATGTTTTAAGTTCAAATAGAAACATAAATAAGTTGAAGAAGAAGGCATTGGTCAGTAAATAATTGTTTCACTATGTTTAAAGTTGAAATAGAAACATAAATAAGTTGAAGAAGAAGACAACAAACATAATTAAGTAGGATCAATATTCACATGAAAACCTATACCAAATATGGTGGCCACAATAAAATCCCCCATTACATGTCATTCACCAAATCATAACTGGCATCCATCAAACCAAAATTTAGGGAGATTCAAACCAAAATAATATGACTAATAGGCAACCTATTCTAATAGAATCTGCACACTAATTACTATATAAGCAACATAGAAATATAAATAAAATACATAGCAACATCATATAGTCGGGACCTAAATACCAAAAAGAAGTGTAAGCCCATCCCGAAAATTATTTCTCCGTTAGTTGGAGTCGACGCATGAGTCCACATCTGACTCATGATCGTCATCCATACCATTCGGTCCCATAGAAAGTGGATCTTCTTGGATTGGGCTTTGAACCTGCTGCTGGACTTCAAAACCATCCTCCATGACATCTTCCAACAACACATCAGAGTTAGTATCATCTAGAAAAATTGGATTCTGCAAATTCTGACCTGGTTTACTCTCGATGTCCACTTGTGCAACCCCGCGTAAGTTCCACAGCTGCACACACTCATTATACCATTTGAAGCCATTCCAACGAAAATACACTTATAAATCGGTCTCTTGCAGGTGTTTTAAATTTTTTTGGACGCTAATAAAGTTTCACTCAACTGTTTATAAAAAAGTGATAACCAAATACACTTCCCTCTCCAATGAAATTCCAGTATTCTTAGTTCACACTAACCAAATGCCGTCATCATGAACGCAGACTCCCGGTGTGGTCATGAACCAAAGGGATTGACAGTAATGTCTTTAGAAACAAAAATAAATAGAAACATAGTTACAATAAAAGGAACCTTAAAAAATCCTGATCAAAGTCCGTAGCGTTGCCCTGAAGATAGTGGATTTTATCACGTACCTTCATCCACGAAAAGTCCTTCTGCATAAGCTCCGATAACTGACGGGAGAGTCCGAACCAGAACGAATTCAGGACGAGTGCCATGTGTATGTCGTCCATTTGAGCACACTTCTGGAAAAAGAGACGATAGCGAACCTCCTCTTCCTCCTCGGTCCACCCCTCCAACCGGAAGCGGCGCACAATGTTCACCAAGCTCGTCATCTGACTGCGTGTCGCTACACGACAAATTTGAATTTATAAATTTTCCTCGTCTGACCCCTACTAACTAGTAGTAGTGGCGAGCAAGGGTCGATCCCACAGAGAGTGTTGTATAAAACAGTGCATTTATTATATTAATTAGATTACAATAAAAATGGGGGGATTTGATTTGATACTAAACTACTTGCAAAACATGAAATTAAACTAGAACTAGAAATAAATGATTTAAATGCAAAAGATGATGAATCCGAAAATAACAAATAATTTAACAAAGATGAGAATGAAATTGGTTCTAGGTTGGTCTACACCCTCGATTAACTTGCCCAATCAATACATTTGTCAAATTTCACTTGTCTTCTAAAACTACCGGTCCTAGATAGCAATAAACTCTGCTACCCGAATTTTCTCTTAATTTTACTTAATCGAAACAGGCTCTTCAATTAAATATAACTAGCGAACAACTCGGAATAAGCTCTCCTAATTTAATCTACTAGTTGCATTAGAATCTAGAAAAAAAGACCGATCTAAGCCACAAACACATAAGCTCGGTCCATGTAACTTATGTTGTGTTATCCCTAACAGTGCACGACTATTAGTTGCTACTAACAATTAAGAATGACGACAATTATGGATCGAAGCCTTAAATTTAGCAATTAACATGCAATTCTCAATTTAGGTGATCAAGCTAAATTAAAGAACACATATTATGGCATGTAACTAGAATAACACAAACAATTTTATACAAGTAAAATGAAATAAATTGCATTAATCGAACATAGTCATCGAGGGTTCAACGTCCCTAAAACCGAAATAAGTGTTTAGCTACACATAGCTAAATGATCAAAATAAATACTAACAATCATGGTCTTAAATCAAAATAGATAATAGAAAATAAAATAAAAAATAAATAACAAACTTCCTTATGAACAAACATTTCACGGCCTAATGCTCCAGCAAATAAATTGAATGTCTTCTCCAAGCACTCACGCCTCCACACATAACCAGGCCTCCATTCGCATGAATTAGTTGAATTGTCCCCTCACACTAATAATTCCTCTCAAAGTTGAGTTAAGTGTCCAGCCCCAATTAAATGTCTCATTTTCCCGGTCAACCTTGCAAGTCACCAAAATAATTAAGAGTCCACTTCAAATACAAGTCCTCTCTCAAATTAATAGTCCAACCATGCCTCAATTCTCTCTGGCAGCAACAAATAATGAGTCCGCAACCTCATTTGTTTCTTCTCTTTATCTTTGACCATATTAAAATGAATTCCATGTCATTGTCTACAGAGCTCCACCTCATCAATGTTGTAGTTTGATACTTGTATCCCAAGTACCCAGAGTTGCACACAATCAAATTAAACAGAATTTAAAGTAGATTCAGAACATATTGAGGAAGCCACATATCAAAACTTGAACCTTCAGGAGAGCATCATACTCTTCCTTCGGATCTCTTTCAGTAATGCAAACAACACAAAAATTCTTCAAGGGTTTACAGTATAGACTCCCTCTACACTTTACTTGAACAATGATCTGCACAATTACTTATCCGACCACAAATCCCTTGTGGTTTTTCTTGTTTGAATCCCTCAAACTAGAACAGAATGAACCTCCGTCCACTATGAGTTTTCTCACACTAAACCTATCCAAACTTTCGATTACCTCTCTCAATATAAAATAAAATAATCACTCGAATACAGAACACATTTTTAATCTCAAATTATCTTCCTAAAGAAATAATAAGAAAAAAATGCTCAATGCTTATCATCGTGGCCCTTTTATCTTCAACCCCATATGGTAAGTTCTTCAACAAATTTCGCTGCCAAGTCAGGTCTTCTTTTGGAATGTCCAGGTAGCATGATCCGATCTCGCACATATGGTAAGTAAGCGCGCATGGAAGGTAATTGTAGATGGAATGTGATTCCCGATTCCATTTCATTAGACCTGCCATAATAAAACATGTATAAGTATTAACCAATAAACTAAGTAATAAAAACTAATCCAAGTAATTTAAAATAAACTTCCCTTAAATATCTTTGTGATGTCTGAACCTGAGAGCAGATGAAGGTTCGTCGATTTTCTGCCAATCCTCCGAACTTACAAATGCCACGTCACAAATAGGCGTAATAATTGCATAATATACACAAAATCGAATATTGGTGTATGTTCGTTCACAAAATAAAATACGTGAGAAAACTTGAATAAAACACTCATTTCAAGTACTCAAATATACAAATTAAATCACAAAATAACACAAGATTTCTCACTTATCATCATCCGATCCATTACACTGTTACCTGTTGTTTCCAAACCAAAAGAAAGAATTATATATATATATAAAAAAAAAATGTTTCAGGCAACAGGTTTAGGGTGAGGATAAAAAAAATATTCGGACCCAAAAAACTTAGTCGTTGGTTTTGGTCGTTGTACTTCACTTTCACAGTCATTAATGTGCAATCCTCCTAACACTAATGTGAACTCGAAATGCAGTTATTTTGTTATTGATTTATCTCAACCCAAACTAAGAACAAAATAACCGATTTATTTGATTGCTTAATCGAATTAACCTAAATACTCAAACTAATATGTAATTTGTATTATAAAAAATATATCTAGTATTCTAATATTTTTATTTCATAATTTATATTATTTTTCTGTACAAAATACATTTAAAAAAACAAAAGGTAATATATTTACAGATGTGTTATTTCAGTTGTTTTGAAAAACATCCAAAATTTTAAAAGTAAAAACCAGACTTGATAGAGTATCAGTGTACTTTTCAATTTTTCTCGCGCGGTCATTGCATTACGATAGTGTGCTTCTCCAAATCATTAATGTGCATTTAGTGCATCAATATCGTGCAGCTTAAAATATATGTAATTTTTAACATGCATAATCGCAAATTACATATTACTTTTTGAAATATTATGCATTTTACTTATCATAATATGCACTCATTAAATTTTTGTTATAAATCATATATTTTCCCTTTAATTAAATTGAAAAATGATAAAAATTTATAAAATTGCAAATAGGTCCCTAAATATTTTCTAATTCTCAAAAAATCAATTTGAACCCTAAACCCATATTTTTTGTAGCTTGTTATCTATTTTGCAGGAGACCGTCGCCTCTGCCGCCGCTCATGTCGGGTTCGTCAGCAAGCTCTGGATTTTGCCGACCACGACCGTGACGCCGCCGTGAGGGGCACTCCGACAACGCTGGTGTGGCCGCAACCGGCCGCCAATGCAGGGCACCATGCAGTCGCTTCCGTTGGGCTCGCAGGCGAGATATGGCCTTCGGTCTACCGCGACTGCAACACCGATGTGGACCCTGCAAACCGCCATGTTCACGTGCAACATTGATGGTGTGGCTAGAGCATCGGACATTGATGACGAGTGGAGTTGTTGGCCTCCGTAATGTAAATTTGACAGACAGGCGGCGCTGGAGTGACGGTCGCCGGAGAAGTCGGAAGCTGGTTGGGGAGAGCTTCTAACGGCGGCGCCAGTGATGGTCGGGCAGGGATGCTACTATGTGTGCGCATATGTATGTGTGTGCAAGGGTGTGTGTTGTGTGTGAAAGATAGTGAGTGGGGCCCGTATGTGTGTGTAGGGTTTGTGTGTTGTGTGTGACAGATAATGAGTGGATGGGTTAGAAATCGGTAAGGGTGAGTTTGCATCGGGTGGGGACCACAAGTTGGTTGGGTATGAAAAATTACTACACTGCCATTAATGTGTTTAAAACTTTGGTTTTTTTTATCCGTTGGATGATGCATTCTGATGGCTAAGATGCATTCTTTTCTTTCACTGAGCATCTTTCTCACGTGAACCCAACTTATATATATATGTATGTGTGTGTGTGTGTGTGGTGTGTGTGTGTGTGTGTGGTGTGTGTGTGTGTGTGTATGTATATGTGTGTGTGTAGGGTCACTCTCTTTAGAGAATGATGCTTAGTGAAAGGAATAAAAATAAATCGTAGCCATCAGATCAAATGATCTAATGGCTAAAAAAACTAAAATTATACCTTCATTATTCATTAAGAGAATGTGGTAAATTTTCACACCCAAATAGTGGGACCCCCGCCACCACACGCCCACGAACACGTGGGCCCACCTGACGCCTCTCCTCTCTCACTTTCTCTCTCATTCCCTCTTTCTCTTACTCTTTCTCTCTCACACCCACAAACCACATGCACACACAGAAAAAACACACAACACACACACAACTCTTGCCAGGCGCACCTCGTGCTCAGTCTTCAAGTGAACCAAATCATTGGCTATCTTGCGGACTTCGACCATCGATACAACACGGTTGCACAAAGCATGACCAAGAGTCCTAGCCATGTGCACCATCGTTTCGACAACTATCAGACTCTAAGTCACTTGTTCAGCTATCGGATCCCAACTCATCAATGGGACCATAGAAGTGTCCACCACGTCGGTCGGCCAAAAGTTGACATTCGAAACTTTCGGGTTAGAAATGGACTTGTAGCTGACCAACTAGTCATCCGCCACACCCTTAAGCAAGTTATTGCATTCTACATGGACTGGATCAACGTAGGAATGTGTCCGTCCCATCCTAGTGAACATGTGCATCTGTCCCTTTCCCAGCATACCTTGGACAACCTGTGTAGTGGACTTCTTTCTCGACCCCTCACCTTGGGTGGATGATCTGGCAGGCTTCTTCTTAGGATGACGCTTGCCTCAACCAAAGCGTCCCCTCTGAAGCGGTTGATCAACCTCGGGAGAGGAGTCGATCATCTGAACGTCAGAGTCTTTAGGCTTGAGGTCATCGATAACTTTCATTTGGGCGATAATGACAGCATGGTCCATGTTTTCTTTGACTTTTTTATTTTTTGGTGAACAAACTCAAATTTTCTTGCCTCTCCCACCGAGCTCTACCCACAAGGATTTGATAACATATAGAAAACTGAACACGCCATCAGAGTCAAATCAACCGGTTGCAGCGAGACGATTGAGCAACGATCAAAAGATCGAATATTAAATGAACAAAACCCGACAGCAACAAGGTAAGAATCCTCCACCAGCGACGACCCTCTCAATCCGAAGGATCCTTGTCGAGTAGTGTTCGTAATTGAAAAGGAACGAATCATTCAACACTGGTAGCAAATGATTCCTTGTTGAAACAAGAAAGCCGACATGTTAGTACAAAAGCAGAAAGGTAGACGAAATTAGGATACGTGGAAAGAGTCATGAGGTGATACAGAACTCACAAAAGTTAGCAATATATTTGGTCGGAACTGTCAAAAAGTTCGATGCTTCTACATCATCCTCAAATTTCCGTGTTTGCCAATCCCCTTCTATCCACATCCACGATTGATTAGATTTGTGAATTGTATCCGGGACCTTTGTGATCAAATCCTTATAGGCCCTATCTCTAACCGCGATTGAGAACAAACCAACCTTTTTTCGGGACTCCTTGAACATATAACGTCCCCAAATCTCCTCACAGGTAGGGACGTCCTAACATTCCTCGTTGAAGAAAACGACTTATAATCTTCAACTAGGCAATAGGAAACACCTGACTGAAACCAAGCTCCCAGTCCCTGAGATACACGGATAAGATATGATGGAGAGTAAATCTCAGCCCGAATGATATTGACTTGTTGAATATACCGATGCAATCGACAGGCGAGCAATGAATTCTTTCCCGGCGGTATGGGCAAACATGTGAATTTCCCTCGGCATCTGAAGTGAAGCCCTAAATTTCACAATTTCGCCGTCCTTCATGGAACTCGGGATATTCCCCAGCTTGAAAAGGGTCGGTGAAGGCCACCGACGGTGCGGTCACCATATCCATACCCGGGCTCTCACTCTAAAGGGAGGCTCTCTCGACCCCTCGTGTCCCCTTTTAGGGCTTCCTCTATTTGTTAATCATCATAACTTTTAGAGGAAAGAGACATCAATTGCAAAAAAATAGAAAATATTAATGAATTAAAAGTCTTACCAAGAACCTTGGGTGAAGAGGGACGAACAGACCATCAGTCCGTGACTTTAAACTTGAGGAGTTTTTGAGGAGAGATCTTGAGCAGATGCGAGAAAAAGCGATCGTTGAGGCAGAATTTCGATATTTATAACCCCTCTTGTAATTGAAAGACAGGATTTTGAAATGCTAAAACGACGCCAATAGTTGTAGCGTCACCAACACACATTTGAGATGCGGTAGCCAATGAGATAACATCACACATTCTTGGAATCTCAGCGGGTTGTCGGCTAAATTAAATAAGCACACATTTTTATTAAACTGGGCCCATATGAAACCTCAACACCCCATTTTTATGTATAATTTGTGACTACCATTTGGTTCGTACGGCCGAATGATGACTCCCTCAGATCCAAACAGCTTCAATTCATACATCTGAGCATAGAATTGCATGCATCGACCAAACTCGGGGGCCTGTATGTGGGAATACAAACTGCTTGTCAATAGAAGGATGCGTCCTTAAGGAAAAAGAGATGATAACATGAGTTTGGGAAGGAGCGAACACAGGATGATACCTTTCTCTAAACGACCTAAATGAACAGACATTGCTAGTGGAACGGGTAGAGTGTAAGAGCTCGAAATCGGGCTGATCGTTTATTTGATGCGAATCAAATTAATAGATCATCTATATGATATTCACTGACCGGTGATGGGACACAAAACCTCTAATCTAATGATCTAAGCCCAACTATACACGCATCGAAAGTGAGGGTTGCCATCTGCATCAAGATTCCACCTAGGAATTACTAAGCATTAAATGCTGATGTGCCATAAAATTTCCAAAAGACCTTGAAAACAAAAAGAAAAAATCAAAAATGGATGGTAGATCCAATAAACGGAGATTTCCTATAAAAAAAAGAAAGGAGAGCATTAAATAAAGGGGAAATTTTTTCGGAAAGAGGCAATAAGAAATAAATACAATTACCATTACAAATTGCAATTCTATTCGCTAGAGCTTCATACCTTTGTTAATATTGTTTGAGCTGAGTATTCTAAGTAGTTTACAACTCACTCTCATTGTTACAATTTCATTTAACAACAATGTTTTAACCAACATAATAAATCAATAACAAAATAGAAAAGATACGCAATCGAGTAATAACACTGTAGAATGACACACTATCACATTTTTCATGCACATTTCTGTCCATCATAATGCAAAATTCTACATCGGATAATGCACGATATTTATTGGTGAACCTAACCAAAAAAAGTGTTGTAACAAAAACAACAAATTGATAAAAGTATGAAATAAATGAAATAATTAATATCATTGTACAATGATAATGTCACATGTAAACAAAACATCACATCCACATTACATGTACATAATTTATATATTAAAACACCACACATCTATGTACATTTCTGCCGATCATATTGCACAATTTTGCATAAAATAATGTACATTATATATTGGTGAACTTAACAAAAAATAAATTTGTGTTGTAACAAACACAATAAATTAATGACAAAGAAGAAAATAAACGCAAGCAAGAAACATAAATATAAAAATTTAATATCCCACATCGAAAGCTAATATGCAATTAAACTTCCTAAAAAAATATGTCGATCACTTAAAATATACATTATAGACTACTTGTACGCTGTGCTCCTCCTTGACCCCAGCAATGTCGCCATCGTTTTGAGTCCTACATTATCCAACTGACGACTATCAATCAGAAAGTAAAAATGAAACCTCTTCCGAAAGCTCTCGTCGCAATCTCATCACGCTCCATAGCTCTTAACGAGTCATTGCTCCATGATCTAAATGTCGGGAACGTTCTTAGAACCGATCTCACAGACCCGACTACCTTGTCCACAAAGAATAGTTGTTTCGAGAAAAACAACAAACATACGAATATTCAATTAATACAATAATATACAAATAGAAAAAAATAAATAAAGCAATGGCAGAATGTTGACCGTCACGAACAATACGGCCCTGCATACTTCTTTTGTGTACCATTAGAATCACATGTCCTCTTCATGTCAACCAAGCATCGAATCATGTATGAGCACGAATTCATCTTGACAACCTCTGATAAATCATCAAGCGTGTGGACTAAACGAAAGTTTGCTATTCCGTTTAGACAACTCTCGAACAAACATGCCACCATAATGACGGTCTTCTAACATCAAATTTTGCAATCCACTCATTCAATAGTTTAGATATTACTCTCTTCTTATTATTCTTAATTTCAATCACACCGCGAGGCAACCCAAACACAACATACACTTCTTCTTCCTTAACATGTACCTTCTCACCATCATACAACTGAAGCTTTCGGTCCGTGTTGTTGAAGTTTTCTACTTACAAAAAGACCCATCATTGACGGTGATTTTATCATGCTCAGATCCAACAAACACCAGACCCATTTCACGATCTGCATTCTTCTTGACGTCTGTAAGGCCAGATATTGCCTTCACAAACATAGCCGTTGAAAACCTCGTAGTCACACTCGGAAACATGTCATCATCACCACTATCAATATCGATATCAGCACCATCGTCCACATCATGTTAAATTATATTGTCGTTATTAGCCATTTTGTTTTTACCCTTATGTGCAAATTACCAAACATTGATATGATCATCAAATGTGAATTACATGTATATATATATATAATTTCAGTGACATGTAATTAATTACATATAACATGCCCATTTTTTTGTAATTTATTCCAAACAATGTTGAGGGCCATCATCAACAAAACTTCGTTACCAGGCTGGCTCGCTATGCATGCACCAACTTATGTACTCTTCGCACGGGCACTGACACATTCTGGTGCATCAAGAGATCTCTTCGACACTGGATTTGGATAACACATAATGAGTTCGAACACACATATACAAATGAAAAATTAATAAACTAAATTAACTTTAAAATATCTTTTTGAATAGTTCATAAATAATTATCTTCTTGCATGTTATCATGCTTCACGGATGTGTCACTTTATTGTATTAAGGGCAGACTTGTACGATGTTGGGTCACTAACAAATGAGGTCAATCATTAGAAATGAAGGGAAAAAAAATTACTTACAGGCTGAGAGTCAAAGAAAATTACAACACCATCCTAATATCTCTACTTAAAGCACATGCCTTTCCATATACCAGGCGGTCAATCTGTTATACCTACATCAACAACACTTTTGTCTGCAAATACACAATTATAACTAAAACACTCATACTCACTAAAAACTTTAAAGTGCAACGTGATAATATGATGCATTTATTAAAGTTTAATAAATTACAAATTTAACTCATGTACTAAATTGAAATATAGTAAACTTTATTAAAACACAACATACAGAACATTCTGGACTGTCTTCCTTCACCATGTGTAATGTCCATCTTATGGACATACAAAGGAAAAAACATATTGATGGCATATGTTATTAATAGACACGAGATTGAGAATGGATTTGACATATAGAAACCGTGATTAGAATTTAGACTGAAACCTCCACAGACCAACATTGGAATTTTACTGGATGCATGTCAGAATTTTCACAGATTCTTTACTCGAATGTGATTAATATCTATAAATTATTTTCAGTATCTTTAGTCATTCTTGCATGTCAAACTTTTACATATTAGAAAACAGATTAGAAAACATATATTTATTGAGATTGGGAGCAAACCTCGAGCAAGTTAGGTAAGATCTAGTATTAAAATGTGAAAAAAAAACGACATACACAAAATACACAAATATAATACACCTAATAATTTCTATAAATTTACCTAAATACCAAAACTAGACGTA